AACAGGAGAAAATCCAACTCATTTAAAAGCGAGCTACTGACATAACAAATATAGGAGATGCGAGAAAAACACTTGTGTGAGTTACCTGGAGCAAAGCAAACTCCGAGTTAGCTGTATAAATCCCCTACTGCAGCCACTGTTACAAATTTCATTTCTTTCTGTATCCAGTCGCAGTGGGACCTGCCCGCAGCTGAGCATCTCAGGGCAGGACCGAGCGCTCTCAGGCTGGACCCGTCAGCAGGTGCCAGGGCTGGCCCTGAGCAAAAGCCCCGCTCCCCGCTGAGCCAGCCCCCCGAGGGAGCTTGGTCCTCAGGTCTGGCTGGACTCAAATTCTCCTCTGGCCAGCCAGGAGTGTGGCTGAGGAGCTGGGACTGGGACTCCGGATGGTGCCACCCTGCCCAGCGCTGGCACCTGCCACCAGCCCTGCACACCCTTCGCCACTTGCTCTTTGATGCCTCTTTTACACCGAATCATACATTTCACCAGATGCACAGGGTGAGGATGAATAAGGTCCAACACATCCCTTTGAACTCCACTCTGCTTTCCAGGGTGAAACCAACCCTGTCCAGGGGGACAGCAACTAAAGCCACACCACTGATGCTGATCACATTATTTCAGTGCACAACTGACGCTGGGGCTCGGCGTGACTGGCAGCAGGCTTCACACCGCCCTGCCAGCAACGTCCATCACTGCTGCCTGCAAGGGTACTGACAAAACCCTGTCACCAAAGAACAGAAAGGAATGTCCCTCCTGGGGAGAAACCAAAAGAGGACCGAAAGGGAAACACAATTGAGACAGCAAAAGCAATGGTCAGCAGCAGGGCAGGGCCAGCAGCCTTCTCCTCTGTCACCGTTGAGATTTTTTTTCCCAGAGATAGAATAAAACCAAGCACGGCAGACCCAAATCAGCATAAAATGCTTGACAAGGGAAGGGAAGAAATATATTCAGATGTAATCTATTGATTATGGTTCATTCATTGCAAACAGCTCCTTCATCAAGGCCATCAGGTGAATTATTAACCTCTTCCATCAACAAATAGAAAAATACCTTCAGTCACAAGGAAGCAATGCCAAAAATAAAAAGGTTATGCAGGTTATTTGCAGCACATCAGAAAGGCACAGAGCAAGGCTCACTCCGCAGCAGAAAATACAGCTCCATGGGGACAAGGGAGGCAGAAAAGTGTCGGTGCCCCGTGGGGTTGACAAGGTGGCCGTGCTGGTGGGAGCAGTGATGTCCGTGTGTCCTGGCACCTCTGCCTCTGTATTGCAACACACGGTGAGAAAAAAGTTCACAGGGAAGCGTTTCACTGAGGTGGCTGTTATCACAAACACGACGTTACTGCAAATGAATTTCTGCTCCTCTCATCCTCTGGAACAGCAGAGAGGGAACAGCAGAGAGGTTGCTGCCGCCTGCTAGCACGGAGCAGTAAGAACTCCTCGCAGGTTACTCACAGGGTTACAACGGCCAGATCTCACCAGTTACCTCCCTGCTATTGGCATGGGTCTGGCGCGTCTCCAGCCCCTGGGGTGCACCCTGACATTGGCGTGACCAGTAGTTTCAGCAGACAACTGGTTTTGAGCAGCTGGGGAACAGGTGCAGAACACAAAATACAGTTTCTGAGCTCTTAATTCAGACCATAAATCGAGTGGCAGTCAGCAGGTACACACCACTGTCCCTTCTAGTCATCCCTGACACTGGTCTCCAGGCTCTGCAACAGGTAAGAGAGTCATTCCTGGGTGCAGGCTGTGAGAAGGGGACTCATGGCTGTGCTGGGGGGCAGTTTAATTTGGACTTTCTCCCAAGCAAAGGATTTTTTGGGGCCAATGAAGCCAAGCAGGGCGATAGAACAGTTCTGGCAGCAGTGGGAGGAAAGGCAGAGAGGACAGGTAAAGAAACCTATGTCAGGAAGGCTGGAAAATGAAGAGGTAAATGGGGTACGTCGGGAAATGAGGATCAAGGCGAATTTGTGGTATTCTACAATGTATGTAAGCGAAAGGAGTCAGAAGGAACAATTAGTATAAATAAAATGAGAGATAAAAAACACACTCAGCAAAACAACTCTGCTGCCCTGCCTTTAGCAGGGTGCCTGTCACCCTGAAGGGAAGCACCAACAGCACCAACTTCCACTGAGCCCCTCTGGAACTCAGGTCCACCCACAAGGAGGAAGGTCCTGGTACAGATCCTGGTTACCCTAGGGCAAGCATTTTTTTCAGAATACAAATCATTCCCATGTAAACTAGTACAAAACCAGCATTTTGCGCTACACAATCTCGTTAAATCATATTTTGTATTTTGCTATTATATCAGACTGCAGTTTCAAGAATAAAAGCTCTTGAAAGCAGGTGCATTTGACCAAGCAACGACAGAACTTCATCTTTGGCCTGTGCACTTTTTAAGAAATAATTTCTCAAAGACAGAAAAAAAATTTAAAAAGAGGCACCAGCACCATGCAAGGAAATTTTACCCAAGGCAAGAGGCAGCCACAACTCCCTGCCCATCCTGAGAGCCAGAGCACTCACCGACCCCAGGGAGCTGGCACTGAAAGAGAGGGAGGTGGACGCCACCGCAGCTCAGATCCCGGCTGCTGAGCGGGTCACACTGGTAATGCTTGAGGCAGAAGTGACCACGTTTGTTTGTTTGTTTCCTCATTTCAAAATGAATCTGCTGACAGAAAGCAAAAACAAAGTAGAGGCTGCCATGAGCAGAGGGACACGGCTGTACCTCAGCTGCACCCACCATCGCCTCTCTTCTGAAATGATTCATTTTGTTCCCAAAAACAGACAGTAGCAGTGGGGCTGTATCAGGCTTTGAAGAGTACTGCACAGCCTGGGGGAAAGAAAAATAAAAAGGAAGAAAAAAAAGCGACAGTAAAAGCATGCTATAATCTGAGTTCACTATTCTGTTACACCAAGGCAAAAAATTGTTGAAGTAAGAGTCACCAGCAGGTTGAGTTTTAAGCCTTTTAACTAGTCACAATAAAGCAGAGTGTAGTTGTTTCCAAACGTCGTTTACTGCTTTCAAATCCTGGGTTAGCGAAAGGGCTCAGAGGTCTCTCAGTAGAGAGGACTTTCTCCTGCTTCTAATGAAAATTCCCATCTGCCTCACGAGTGTGATCCAAATAAGGGCAAATGGAAAAAGAGAAACAGTCCCTGCCTTTATCACGACCAACACAACTGCCAAAAACCAGCATGTATTTAATAAATGCAATGTAGATTGTTTTATTTGACCTTCTGTTCACAAAATAATTTTATTATATGTATGAAAGCAGCATACAGGCAATAAAATTATGAAAACATTCACAATACAAATACACAGACCTGATGCAGGATGTATATAGCTTGTTAGACTTTAAAACTTTTTCCTCTCAGTTCTCTTTTCCTGACAACACTTTTTTTTTTTGTATATATGTTATGAAAAAGTTGCTCCAAAGGGTATTTTCTCTCATTCAGAAAACAAACAGCTTACTTTGAATGCTGCTGAATATTAACACCCAGCATTCCTGTTGCTAATGTTCACTGATTGCTTTTGGCAATACAAAGGGAAAGCAGCAGGGGAGGACAATGAGAAAGTAGCAGGTTTTTTGAATTAGACATCGGCAACTTTTTTGGAGCTCACAGGACGTTTCTGAGGTGGGGGCTGCAGTTGCATCCATATTTAGAAATGTCTAAATCCAAAAATGGTTACGAGGCACTATTCAGTGTTGAATGGACTATTGACGTGGTAATTACTAAAATGTAATGTCCTCCTAGATCCAAAGTAAAGCACTGGGTACCTCACTTGTTAGCTCTGACTGTGGCACAGTAGCAGACAGACAGCATGATCCTGGTGGCACTGCAATAATACGGATGATAACGAGGTTTGGCATGTTTACTACTATTATAACCAATTGTGTTTGTTCAGAAAAGATATCCAAGACTTGAAATAAGAAAAGTCTGAGAAAGCTGTTTATCTTACATAAATACAAAACATTATATACTAAGAATTGTTACCTAAGAAGATTTTCTTCTCAAATTGGATTCTTCTTAAGGTTGTAGTCATATTTAAGGTATTTACAGATCCACGAACTTGACATTCTAGCAAAGTCTTTGTAACATGAAACTTTTTAAAAATAAATAGCAGCAATTTCTTTTATTTCTGTAAGGGAAGAGAATTCACAACTCAGTCAACGCTGGTCCTATCTCTTGAAAGAAATCCCACTTCAAAAAAAAAAGAAAAAAGCCCACGAGCAAACAAACTCAACACAGCATCGGTTTTGTTGATTCCTTCGTTTCTTGCTCAGCTTCTTAACATTCCTTCATTCTCCCCACCAGCTCTCCAGACTTACAGAGCTTGTAATAAAGTGCTGACTGGTTGACTGGTCAAAATGCAGTTACAACACTCAAAAAATATCCCATTATTTAGACATCTTAAATAACATAAATAAAGCTAGATCTGTTATAACATATTAAAAATATCAATTTAAAACAATAAATAAATAAAACCAGTATCAACATATTACCTCGCAAAGCTTTAAAAATAACCATTCTCATTATAAGGCTCAATTATTTGTCAGAAATAATTTTAAGAAGGCATTTACCTACCTTTACAATCCCTCAGTCTTTAACTAGGACCTGTTAACACCCACTATCACAAGACATAGCAATCTTTTAACTTCTAGGAAACATTAATCTTTAAATACTTAACATTTACCTTTTGCCTCACCGTAAGCTAGAAATTGGTTCCTCTGTGTAGAGAAGAATCAGTATTCTTTGTCACTGCACTGTATCTAAATGTGTACATTTTCCTCAGTATGAACAGTACAGTCTAATACTCTTTTTCTAATTGATTTTTGGTATCTTTTCCTGTTTATTGTTTAAAATGTTAAATTTGCTTTGGATGCCAGGAAAATTAATTCTGGAATTGGTATAAATGTGTATTTCTCCCTAGAACTTAGTTTCTTACCAAAAAAATGTTGTATATCTTTTTTTTTTTCCTTTAAAAAAAAAAAGATTATTACAATATACACTATTAGGTCTTGCTGGCTAAACCTTACTGTTCAGGTTTTATGCTGTCCATTTTGTGTAATGGGGTTGATCTTTTCCAAAGAAACATCAGCTTCATAATCCAAGATACCCGACAGTGCTGGAGACATTTTCTCCAAGGTCTTAGATAGTTCACTCTCTTCTTCCTTCTTGAGAGGTTCTTCTTCCGGACAGATAATTGCATGTGGAATCAGATAAACCAGATTAGACTCTTTGGGGCTGGACCCTCTGGGCTCATGTTGGCTCGAAAAAACAACTGCTCCGTTATTGTTAATACTGACAGTTTCTATAGCATTGCCAGACATAGGGCAGAGCCTGTAGCATCCTAGAAGGGTAGAAAATGCCTTGCGGAAATCAGCATTGAAGGCATAAATGATGGGGTTGAGGGAAGAATTAGCCCATCCAAACCAAACAAAAACATCAAAGGTGGTGGAATCAATGCAGAAAGCTTCTGCTCCCTTGGATGGTTCAGTAGGCTCGCAAAAGGGAATCATGCAGTTCAATACGAAAAATGGCAACCAGCAGCACACAAACACCCCCATGATCACCGACAAAGTCTTTAAAACCTTCGTTTCCCTCTTGAAGGACATTTTGAAGTTGCTCTCTGGTTGCTGGCAGTCCATGCTGCTTCTGTTGCCGCTCGTGTTCTGGCAGTTCTTGGCATGCACTGCTGCTCTCTCCAAAGCCGAGATGCGTCGTATTTGCTTCTGAGCAATCCGGTATATCCTCGTGTAAGTTACTATCATGATGGCCACAGGTATATAGAAGCTAATTAGAGATGAGGAGATGGCATACATCCTGTTTAGGCTAGAATCACAGTTGTCCATGCTTACACCTTGTAAGCTGGCATTTAGGTCCAAAAAGCTTGTGGTTGTAGCCTTGTGCCAGTTCAGCTGCACAGGGATGAAGGAAATCAACACAGACAAAGTCCACGCCACACTGATCATGATGAAGGCTGCCTTGGGGGTCATTTTCCTCTCGTACCTAAATGGGCTGGAAATGGCCCAGTATCTGTCCACACTAATGACGCAGAGATTTAAGATGGAGGCTGTTGAGCACATAATATCAAAGGCCACCCAGATGTTGCAAAATGAACCGAAAGGCCAGAAGCCGGCGATCTCTGCCACAGCTTTCCAAGGCATGACCAGAACCGCCACTAAGAGATCAGACACAGCCAAGGAGATGACAAAGAAGTTGGTCACCTTTGACCTGAGGTGGCGAAACCTAATGACAGCTGCACAGACCAGCGTGTTTCCCAGCAGCGTGGAGAGGATCAGTAGTGAGAGGAAACAGCCCGTGAGGATTCGAAAGGAAGAGTCCCTTTCCACCAGCAACCCTTCCCCATCCATAGTGGTGTCGTTCCAAGTCATAGTTTCTCCTGAGGGAAAATCATATCATGATTTTCATGACGACATCAGCTCCTCGCCTTGCAGAGGTCAGAGACATCAGACGTCCATTAATTACTCATCACTAAACAGACCAAAGGTCCTTTCTTACAGTTTCTTCACCCCTAGATGGACTTCACCCACTTTGAATCATCCTGAACACCGAAAGCTCTATGAGAAGGAACTGAAAATGCACAACCGCAGTCACCCTGCAGACTGTTTTTTTAAGCAATCCCTTCAGAAACACACTGCACCACCCCAGCATGAAGTAGCCAAATTCAGGCAGCTCACCTGCAAATGTTCTGCTGCTGTCCTCTGCAAATACACCCCACAGACAGGAGAGCAATCACTTCTCCATGCTTGCATATATTCCCACTTAAATAGGCTATTGATCGAGTGTTTCTAGCGTCCACTGCACTAGCCCTTCATATTTACTGAAGCGTACTGTACGAGGTGCTTTTTCTCTAGTTTCCTAAATGTCTCACTGCTGAAATACTCCATTCTTCCTCCTTCGTGCATTCCTGTTACAAAATGCATCAGTTCTCTGCTTCTGGGCAGCATCAGAAAGCAAATCTTCACTTTGTTTCAAACTATTTTACACTTCCAAGACATTGAAAATGAACATACAGTAGGTATACAGTAGGTGTGTTTTAAAGGTTTTCAGTAAGAAGTAGCTCAGGTTATTTAGTTTTATTTAAATGAGAAATGCTGCTCCTACCTTTCACCTCTGATTCTCTGTTTGCTCTGGGGTGCGGGGCCGTCTCTCCTTCTCTTTTAATTTTGGAATTGCATAGCAAATCGTATATACAAAACCAACACAGAAACACTGCATTGTATCAGGTGTGTGTGTGGTTTGTTTTTTTTCCCTGAAAGAGCAAATTGGCAGGGGAGAAATAAAAACAGGAGCCGGCAGAGTCTGACCATCAGGAGTTAGTTTTCGGAGGAGCAGCAGGTCTGCGCTCTGGGACCACGTGTGACGGACCCCACCAGCGTGTGTCCAGCTCCCTCCAGCCCACGGCCCCAGCTCATCACTCCGCAAACTTTGCTGGCTGGATCAGTCCCGGTCACACTTTGTACATCCCGTCGAAGCGGCACATCAGGGGAAATTATCCCAGGCAAAAGGCACGGTATTCCCAACACTGGCAAGAGCCGAGTACCGGTTCTTTCTTCTGCTGTTTGCTGGAAGGGGAAAGAAGGGCGAGAGGAGGAGAAGGACCTGAGTGACCTCCCCTGGGCCACGTCGCGGGATCCCACGCCGGCGGGTTCCTCTTCCAGCG